TGGTTGAAGAATTGTTGCAGTCTTTCGTTTACGAAGTTAATCCACAACTGCTCGAAGGAGTTGAACTAAAATGGGTAAATTTTTTAGTGGATGCAAAATTTCTTCAGAGAGGGTCTCACGTCGAAAATCTCGAATCCGGCGATATCAAGCACACCAATGAAGTAGCGACGTTCGATCTGCTTAGCATCAAGGGTCTTGTTACATCTGGAAAAGGTATGGATAGGGCATAGATGTATGATTTTACCTAGAAATACCTTCCAATAAGCCATTTGAACATACGAGCGTAGATAGCCTTACCCAAACCAGCGACGGCCCAGTTGACCTAGAATTTTGGGTTACAGTGATATTTGAAATTTTGAGAAAATTATTTACCTGTTCCAAGTTTTGTCCTTTGTTGACCCATTCGGTACCGACACGTACACGTGGCTTGGTGAGAGCTTTTAACAATTCTTCGGGGTTAATCCCCAGGCAGTGGGCGACATTCTGCGCGTCTGAAACTACAGACTTCTCAGGACAAGATAGTTATAGTTCTTAATCGGGTAAATGCAATAGACCTTCATCGCCATCGGGTTCGGCTTGTTCTTCACGTGGTCTCTGTTTGAATTTCATTTCTCCCATATGCATAATGGCGGCACAACTCTTGTACAGATCCATTACTTCCTCATCTTCGAAACCCATGATGTCGAAGGCTTCCTAGAAAATTATCAATTTTCAACCTCGAAGAGATTTCAGATTTCTCAGTTGGCGCGGATGTTTTCTAACCTGAGTCAAACCCATTTCTTCTTTGTCATCAACACCGTCGATGGTCAGCTCTGCTTGTGAGCAGAAATGGTAGTATCTCAGATCGTGATTGAGCTTTAGCGAATCTAAATTTTTCCGAAATCATCTCAAGCCTTCATATTTTGGTCTGGCAAACTTACCGCGAAGCTTAGAGTCAAATCCGGACATAATTTGGTAGAAAATGTGGTAACTACGTTCACCGGGAGCCTGTCGCACGACACGAGACTTCTCGAGCAAATCTAGAAAAATCTTTGATGTGAATTTTGAAGCATTGATTTGAAATTTTGTTACATACAGTGTTCAATATCTCCTCCGGCCAGTTTTCCTTGTGCAGAGAAATGTGTTCGGATGAATTTTCCGAATCGAGAGGAGTTGTTGTTTCG